ACAAATTGAGGCACACAAGTAGCACAGTACTTTCCCCAGCAATTACTTGAAATGAAAAAGGTGTTTCTGAAGGATGCAAACATGCCCTGTTATTTATTTTGTCAAGAAGCTGTAATACAGTGGCAATGCAAGGGTCAAAACATTCTGCCCCATGTTTATCAAGGTAAAGAAGTGTCCTTCAACATACTACAAAACATAATAAAATATCATTCAGAAATCCATGTGTGGACTCACAGACAGTGTATAGATCTATAATGTCTGTGTGATTTTGTGGGTTGGATGCTGTACTTAGCATCAAATTTGATGGCACTCAGCTTCCAATTTCCTGGCTTTGGGAAGCCAGAGACATGAAATAACCTGAATTTCGGTTTTGAATCAGCAGGCTTTTAAACAAATCTGAGCTTCTGTTTACGTGTTAAAAGGAACCTTTTAAAGCTGTAGCGACACTTTTCAAATCCCGATTTGTTCCTGCAGTGTGCCTTACGCCCAAAATAATGTGGTGGTTTTTGTCCGTTGTTGTATGCCGGTAGCAAGGGGTGAGCTGTGAGGGAGTGAAATGTATGGCTCCTTGCCTTGTGAATTCATCCCATCTCTGAATCTAATTGCTGACCAAGGAGAACGTTCTGTTTTGTTTACTCCATGCCTGCCAGAGAAGTCAGTTCAGAATTTGGTTGTAATGTGGGGGACATATTTCCTTTATCCAGTATGAAATCACTTTATGTAACTGTTTTTACAATGCTTTGTGGCCGGACTTCAGAACTTGGATGTTTATATGGTTCAGACCCACTGAGATTTAGGAAGTAAATCATTACGGTATTTCCTTTTGCCAACCCTGAGGGGGTTTTATGTGTACTGGCTGGAAGAAAAATAAAATTGCCCAAGATTGCAGGTGAAGTTGTTTCCAGGGGTGGCATTTTTTGACCCCATGTATGAGAAATTGCCCATTCACTGGCTGACAGGCGACCTACCTAGTCATTCTTTTGAATGGAGGGGGAAGGACAGGATGTTTTCTGAGAACAGGTTTGTGAAGCCAGGCTGTAAAAATTGTGCTTTAACTCAGCTGTTCTTGAAGCAGCCTTTCTAAGAAAACTTCATCTCAATGGATTATCCCAGGCTGTAAACAGGACTGTATTTTCACAGGGCAGTTATTTCCGGGAGTAATTGTGCGACTTCATTTTGTTTTGTATTATTCCTGCTTACACGCCTTTCTGATAGGGTATGATTTTTTGTGATCTTGCACTTCTGCCCGTCAGTCCATTTTCCTCCTATGTCAGTTGATTTTTTAACAAAAAGAATGATGATGATGGCCACGATCCAACAGTGAACGTCTGCTGCCTGCTTCTCTTTCCTCCAGCAGACTGTGGAGGGGCAGTCACCCGTTCCCCCTGGAGCTCTCTTCCATGTGTCCAAATAAATGGGAAAATTTCTGGAATGGGGTAATTCAAGCAATAGAGCGTTTCATTGTTGGGGGACAGATGAGAGGACAAAAATCCCAGTTTTGCGTGTGGAGTGCTGCAGAAGCATATTTTTGGGTGCTGATGAATAATTATATGCTATTAAGTCAGTTCTGGCATGTCTAGTCTACCAGCGTTCCTAGCTATAAAATGCTTAGAAGTGGTTTATAAGTCCTTTCTTCTGGTGGCAGTCTGGGACAATGCAGCTTGCCCAAGGCCAGACAGGTGGTAGGGCATGTACAGTAACTCCCACAGCCACACATGCTCTAGTCTAGGTGATTTCAGTTGTCAACTCTCCTAGGCAGAATCATGGGGATTTGAACTCCTATACTTCAGCTCTACAGCCAGGAACTTCAATCCAGGACATATTCGGTTGGCCCCTCTCCCAGGTGCCACAGTACTCTTGACCTATTGAGTTGTACAGTGGACCCTTGACTTACAGACGGCTTGACTTACAGACTTTTTGAGTTACAGACTTCTCTGGCCGCAAAATTTAGGTTTGACTTGCAGCCTGAGAATTGACTTACAGACCAGAAAAAAACAAAATGGAACAAAAACGGCCTGTTACGGGATTAATTGGTTTTCAATGCACTGTAGGTCAATGGAGACTTGACCTACAGACTTTTTGACTTGCGAACTGCCTTCCAATACGGATTAAGTTCTCAAGTCAAGACCCCACTGTACCAGCCTGCCTAATAGTGGTTACTCATATTATTCACTAATAAGCACTTAAACAACGTACAGAGCTTAAAAATGACTCAGTCCCTGCCCAAAGGTGCATATTGTAATAGAGGCAATATAAAAAGCAAAAAAGGAATGGGAAGGGAAGAGAAGAGAAAAACAGGCACATTCAAGTAGACCTTTTTGAAAGTTGAAATGTGCTTCAACCTGATTTTTAAATTGCTTACTGAGCAGGAGGGGTGTGGCGGATTTGTAGTCGCATTTCCAGCTGTGTCATCTGTGAGCAAAATGTATTCTGACCAGAATGTATTTTTACTCCTCCTTTTCCACGGAACAATACGCATTTTCACTTCTCCTCCCAGGATGGGAGCAAACCATCAACCATGTATTTGTTCTGTTCATTTACTTGCAGTGTTATCTGGAAGAAGACCCGGAGAGTAGTGTTGCGCTCTGTGTTAGCAGAATACATGTGCCTGTAGTGGCGGTAAAACAGCATTGTTCTCTGTGTCTTTTTAATTTCTAATTGCATAAATTCATGTGTGGCAGAGAGTGGGGGAGAAATGATCCATTTTGTCTTCCAGAGAAAGTTGAAATGTGCTTCAACCTGATTTTTAAATTGCTTACTGAGCAGGAGGGGTGTGGCGGATTTGTAGTCGCATTTCCAGCTGTGTCATCTGTGAGCAAAATGTATTCTGACCAGAATGTATTTTTACTCCTCCTTTTCAAAAAAAAATACACATTTTCACTTCTCCTCCCAGGATGGGAGCAAACCATCAACCATGTATTTGTTCTGTTCATTTACTTGCAGTGTTATCTGGAAGAAGACCCGGAGAGTAGTGTTGCGCTCTGTGTTAGCAGAATACATGTGCCTGTAGTGGCGGTAAAACAGCATTGTTCTCTGTGTCTTTTTAATTTCTAATTGCATAAATTCATGTGTGGCAGAGAGTGGGGGAGAAATGATCCATTTTGTCTTCCAGAAAATCCTGGTGGGCAGCCTGTTTTAGAAAGATCAGATGCAAGGCAGGTCTCCCACCGGCTTATGACCAAGGGTGGCTGCTGAATCCTGATTTAATGGGGTGGTGAATGCAGTCCAGATTTTAAACCATGCTTTAAAGATGGTGAAATTCAGAGATAATGCACTACCTACCCCATGCTCCATTGGCTTCCGCTGCTGTTGACTGTGATAGCAAAAGGACACCTTTGGTTTTCAGTCCGAATGTGTCCCTGTCCTCTAGATGCTGGAGATACAGCCGTCTCTGTTTGTGAACCTCAGTGAAAAACATCAGGCCAAATAAACTGTTGTTCTCACCCAGCAAGACTCGCTGTTCCTAAGATGAGTCAAAATGCATTATATGACTACAGGTTCATTGGTACTGCTACACAACCTGCAGAGTGCTACCAGCCACTTGTATTCCTTTAAAAATGCATTCATTCACTTTAAGAAGCTCAGGGAGGTGTACCTGAGGTAGTGTATGTTTCAATCTCTCTCTCAAACTAGCTCTTCCAAAAAGGTTGGATGGTGGCTGGTATGTAGTTGTTTGGGGAGTTTCGCGGCCGAGGAAGAGTTTTGAAGCTTGATCTTCCAAATTTGTGGCCGTATTTTCTACACAACAGTGGCTGTCACCTTTGTAGAGAAAGGTAATTGTAGGGAACCAGTTCAGACCAAAAGGTGACAACGTGTATACGAAATTAGTGGACTTTTGAAAGTCCGTGTATTAGGAAAAGTGTTGGGCTGAATCATTTACACCAGTGTGGTAGTGGTGAGGGATCACAGGCCTTCAGGCCTAATCCTGATGTACAGGGGATACGGAATTGGTTCATAGACCTCCTGAAGGTCTGCCCCTGCCAGCAGGAAAGGCAGTTTCCACTGTCTCCAGTCATTCATTGGAAATGACAGCAGGAATTTCTCTTTACATGAAGAGTAGTATCGACTATTATCAGGGATTCCTTTTAGGCTTTGAGCCAGAATTTCTAGGAACTTTGGGGCGGGATGGAAGAGCTAGTGCTTTTTCCAAATAAGTGGTTATGTTAGTCTGTTTCTCAGGACTTCTGATCCCTGTGGGGATGTGAAGCTCACTGGGTAGGTCACCTTGGTCCAGTCACACAGTCTGGTTGATGTATCTCACAGTGTTATTGGGAAGATAAAGCAGCTAGACAAAACCCTATGAAGTCACTGAAGGAAAGGTGTAATATAAATGCAAGTAATAAATATTGGCATAAAATGTAAGTTTGCATGAACCAGTAGTAGGGAACATCTGACACGCAATGACCAAAATCCTCTTGCGTAGCTGTGCAAATGACATAACTTTTGGAGTAAAGTTGCATTGTTGAGAAATCAACTTAGACATCATTAGTTGAACATTGAATCATATAACTCACTATGCAGTTGATGTCTGCAGTGATTCCTTAACTTGGAGCAGTTTACCACCAAAAGTTATGTTGTATGGGCTACCCCACTGCTAACTAGATACAAGGATTTGGGCCAATGCCTGCTTTTTCTTGGGAGAATCCAAAGTCTTTTTTCCTCAGGACACAATGGCCCACCAGAAACATGCTGTTACATGTGCAGTCAAGGAGAGAAACACTATTATTCTGATCTAATCAGAAGGCATGCCCAGAGTTTTGAAATGCAGCCATTTTGACTCACAAATCACAGAATCTCCTAATCAGCTAGTCTTTTAAAAGTAGTCTGATAACAACAATTCCAATTTCTGGGCATATCCTTTGTACCAACCCTTTTTCAGTGTGTTTAGGTTCAGAGCCTAGACTTGGATATTTTCTTTATCCTTTACATGAATACAGAGATTTATCTGCTCTTTATCTGAAGGGATGATTAACATGTTTCCACATTTTCTTTTTTAACAGACTGGCTTGTAAGTAAGAAGAATCAGTAGCTGCACCTCAGCCGGTGTGAGTGCATTCTGAGAAGAATTCAGAATTCAGACCATCGCCACGTGAAGCTGAGTGTAGCTACTCATCGCACTCCCATGGGGACTGTCCCTGATCCCCTGAGATCTGCCAAGCTTGCATTGATTCCAGCCTCTGAAGAAGAAAACGGCCTAGAAGAGCTTAAATCCCCAAAACACCAGCAGAAGCAAGCAAGCATAGAGAGAAGTAGTAATGGATATCCTTTCAGTGCCAAGGTGCAGCCAGCTGGAGAGCACTCATTTGACATGAACCATGGGACAGAAGCCAGCATGCCAAGGGGTGAGCATCACTGTGGGTGTGACATTAGCAAATCACCCGTATTTTCTCCTGGGTCCTCCAGCCTCTCCAAAGAAGACCGTCTAGCAGCAGCAGAACCAGTAAAAAACTCTAGACAGGAAGGAAACAATGGCTGTAATGCAAAAAAACAGGCCTTAACGGATAGTCATATTTTGATGAACACTGCAATCAAGGATCCTAGTGCCCAGGAGGATTGTAAAATTGTGCAGAGTGGTACCGGAGGGCCACTTTGTAGCCAAGTTGATGATAAGACAATTCCTTCCTCTGGAGGAGTTGGTGGTGTAATGGAGAATAAAACCCATAATAACAATTCTTCTTTGCTTCCCACTCCTCAAGGTGCCCAGCAAGTAGCTCCTACAGCAAAGGAAACTGTGACTGGAAGCAGTGATCTTGAGAAAACTCAAGTACCACCGTTGGCAAAAGAAATGGGACTCGTATCCGATCATGGTCTAAAGGCTAACGTTTGCTTAGATGCAGAATTGAGGGATACAAAGAACGCAAGTTCCTATCCCAGTGTTAGAACTGTGCAGGAGCCTCTCCCCAAATCAAACCTTGAGCGTTCTCCCCAGACTTTGTCCCACAATGAGACTGCAGAGGAGGTCTTGCCAGAGGTCTTGAAATTCAAAGACACCGGTACAATGACAGTGCAGCCTGAAAGCAGGCCAGCGGAGGGGGAGACAATAAGCAGGAGCCTCCAAGATGCAGAGGTCCAGGCAGTGGCCAGTGTGGAAAGCAGATCGGCTTCCACCAGTCCGAGTATCTTAGCTGCATTCCTAAGAGAAAACATGCCTTCTGAGGCAAAGCAGAAGCAAGAGCAGTTGCACATTATTTATAGAGGTGCCAGCGGGAAAGAGCACTCAGAAATCATGGATAACCTTGCGGTACTTGGCCAAACAGCTCCGTCCACTGGCATCCTGCCCAAAGTGCGTATTCAGGCACCAGCTGGAGCGGAGAAATGGTCGGGAGCGCAGGCTGTCACACTTCAAGTTGACCTAGCAGGAAAGCAGGATGCAGCCTGCTTGTCTTTGCTAGACAACTCAGAGCATCCGTGCCCAGCAGCATCTGGCAGTACTCAAGAAATATCGGTCAAGGGGATGGAAGTACAAATAGCAGATGGGGCTAGAAGCCCTGGCAGCATTGCCCAGCAACTGTTGGACCCTTCAGCTTTGCAGAACACAAAACCTGTTTGCCAAATTTCTGCCCATGCAAGTGATCAGCCTGTGGTTCCCCCACAGCCTGCAAACCTTGAGACTAAGCTACCTCCATGTTCTGCTCTCTCGGAAATCAGTAGTAAGCATCAGAACCTTGGCCCCTCTGCTACAGAAAATCAGCTGGCCCCTTTATCGTGTCCCAGAGTATTAGAATTGGCCAAACCTCTAGTCACCAATGCTACTGAAAGTAATCAGCAGAACCAGCCGCAGATCAAGACTCTTGGTGATGTTGAGATGGGCCCAACTGGTTTCCACGTGGGTGCAAAATCAAAAACAGAAGGGACAGTTATCCATTTTGGTCCTAAGGAACAGAAGATGAATGCTATAGGAGTTCCTGCTGGGCCCCAAACCGTGGGTGTTCCAGTCACATTACAGACAGGTCAGGATATATCTCCAGGCGATAACCGAGAGGTGGAAGCCTTACCTGGTCAGAAATTGGCTGCTGGGAGACCAGAATCTGAGTTGAGTAGCAATTCTGCCCTTGGTCTGCTAGCTAAAATCGGCGCGAAGGGGAAAGAATCAAAACTTGCTGTACCAGCAGCGGGTTCTTCCGTCCAACCTGTGCCAAGCCCCTGTAAGAAGAAGAAAGAAATTAAGCCTGTCCCGTTCACTAAAGGGCACGTGAAGCAGTCCAAGCACGTCAGGGATGTTGTGTGGGACGAGCAAGGCATGACCTGGGAGGTGTACGGAGCATCTCTTGACCCAGAATCCTTGGGGGTTGCTATCCAGAACCACCTGCAGAGGCAGATCAGAGAACATGAAAAACTCATTAAAGCCCAAAGCGCCCAGACCCGTAAATCCATTTCTTCAGATACATCCTCAAATAAAAAACTTAAAGGGAGGCAGCACAACGTTTTCCGATCCATGTTGCAGAATTTTCGGCGCCCGAATTGTTGTGTTCGCCCTACGGCTTCTTCTGTGTTAGACTGAAAAAGGTGGGGAGGTGGGGGAGAGGGGAGGCGATGTACATCTTTGTCTAGCCATCTGTATATGTGCACACAAGACAACCCTAGAATATAAGACTTGAAGCTCAGCTTTGTTGTGTGAGATTCCGATACAGCAATGGGAGGAAGCGTTTTATTCCCAATAAGTCGTCACCTCCTATCTTTCTAATGTTTTTGCAAAGGGTACATACTTCTTTTATGTTTCCGCAGACGTCCCTGACCCCTGTCAGCTGCCAGGTAAAAATAGGCAATGAAGCACAACTTAAAAATGACCAGCTTACGACAACCATCTGTGACAATTTGAGATGTGGAAGAAAGAGAGGACAAAAAGGCCCTTTAAAAAATATATATATATTGTTATGTGACTATAATGAAAACTTCAACAGTTATATGGTCATGTAGCAAATATTCCAAAACTTATGAAAATATACGTGTATGTGAATATGTATATATATATATCTGTTCATATGTATGTATGTTATATAATCTTATGGGCATATATAAGATACATACATTTTATTCATATATAAAAATTTCTGAGTTGGATTGATATGGAAAGAGAATTCTCTTTCCCCGCCCCCCTTAAATTTAAAAACTTTTGGAGATACCTTTAAAGAGATGCAAGAGGAGACATGATTGCAAGCTTTATTTGTTCTAACAGAATATAACTTAAAGTGCAAGGTTCATCCAGAGGAAGAATTTCAGAGAAAGTTCACCCCTCTGCCTCATTCCTTAAAGGGATCTGGAATTCTTCTGCCAATACACAGTTGTGTTGTTCCAAAAGCCCTCTCTCTCTTTCTATAGGTCTTTGGAAGCCTCTGGCAGGCCTGGCACCATAGAAGTGCTTAGAACTGGATCACGAGGGACTTGGAATTTAAAGCTCCAGATTTCAATGGGTGTCAAATTTCCTTTCAAGAATCTTTGGACTCCTGTGTGAGATTTCGACTGTTATTTGTTCTTTAATGCACTTCGTTTTGTTTCAGCGAGTAGTCTTTTTTTAATGCTTTCCTTTTGAAGAATTTCTTCCATATTATGTAGTAGTGGAAGCATATGGAAATGTAGAGGGGATTAAGAATATCATGTAGCCTTTCATGTACGCATACATAAATTTTCAGCCTATAAGAAGGAAGCGGCAGAAGTGTGCCTAAGGCAAACGCTTCTTGTGCTGAAGTCCTGCTGGTTGCCCATCTTGGCTAAGAAAAAAATAATAATCATATGGGTAGAAACATGTTAAAACCACTGTACTGAGATTCATGAAGCCATTGATTAAATATCATGCAGAGCATTTCTTCAGTCTTGTCTTGTGGAATTAAGACTTTGTTGCACATTCATAGCAGGAATATGGAAACTGTGACTTTGGTTTTACACGTTCTGGCTTTCCAGATCTCAGAATTCAGCAACATCTGGAGTGTGTCTAGATCTCTACCATTGTTGTAGAGTCCAGATACTCCTCAAAGTTTGGAAATGTTACATTTTTTTAACTACCCCCCCACACACACACACACGCACACACACAGAGTATCTCCAAACCAGGATGGTTGTGGATTTTGCATGCCTTCATCCAAAACAAGAAAACTGAGAGGAGACTGGTTCTCTCACATTGTGAAGTCAGTATCCTGAAAAAAGTTGTTAGGAAGGAAGCCAAGGACAGGTGCCAGAGAAGATGTGTGCTATTGTGTCTTCTCGTGTCAGAAACAGATATTGGATGCAGCCTATAATTTGAAAAGCAAAACGTTCAGCTAAAATGAGCATCTGAACGTCATAGCAGGATCTTATTTCATCTCTGCGATTCTGCAAATGAGCTTACCTTTTTGGTGGTTGGTCAAGACTTTAGCAGGAAGTGTGTGAAATCTGATTTCATGAACATAGAGAAACGGTCTCCGTTGTCTCTCTACAACATTAAGTGCGTTCCACTCTAATTATGCTGATTGCCGATATTTCTAAACTGGCTGGATGGCTCAGTGAGTTGGGTATCTGATGCAAAGCCAGAGATCGGGAGTTTGATCGCCCCTTTGTGCCTCCCAGGAGGAAGGAATCTATGCAGCCCTGGGCGAGCTGCTATGTCGTAGAGTAACCACAGGAGAAGGGAACAGTGAACAACTTCTTCATCCTCTATACCTAGAAAATGTTGGGAAGGGTTGCCATAAGTTGGAATTTCCCTGGTGGCATGTAATTATTACTGTTTCCTAGTATTTCTCAATGAGTGCTTTCTTTAGGCCACTGGTGCCAATACACTGCCATTCTAGGAGCTGTGCCTTGCCTGACCTTACATTGATTGTTAGTGTCATGGGCCAATAAAGCAATGTGCTTTTTTTCCCCTCAAGCATTGTTTTTCCCTGCAGATTCTAACAGATCAGCAATGGGGAACAGCCGGTCTGTCGGATATTGTTGGACTAATTTAGATCAGCCCCTTAGCCTGCACAGCTAAAGGAGAAGGATCAGGGAAGTTGAGGTCCAGCAACCTCTATAGCACTATCCCTGTCGTCGATAAAACTGTGAATGTAATTTACTTATTTATTTTTATTTATTTCTTCAATTTGTGTCCTGCTCCCGTGTAATTTATTTATTTATTTTTATTTATTTCTTCTATTTGTGTCCTGCTCCCATTAGTGCTGAGACACTAATCTGGGTGGTTACAACAAATGTAGAACAATGGTTAAACAAAAATACAAGCACTAGAAACAATTGCAGATAACCATTAAAAAATAGCTGCTTCTGGCCTTAACCACATCTGTCCGGAGCAACTACTTGACACACTGGCAAAAACAAAAAACAAAGCAAATTTGTCACCAGAGAGTATTTTTTTTAAAAAAAAACAAATTGCTTGACATTTCCGTAGATTAGTTTATGTGTATATATAAATGCCAGTTTATTTGCAGTTATGATCTAAATATGGGGGCGGCGCTCATTCCGCTCTTCAAGCCATAAAGCCAGCGTTTGTCCGAAGACAATCTTTCCGTGGTCACATGGCCAGTGTGATTTAGACACGGAACGCTGTTAGTTTATATGTATATATAAATGCCAGTTTAGTTGCAGTTATGATCTAAATAGAAATACAGTCCATCTCATAATAGTGGGGTTGATCTATGCGCTTGCTGCCATTTTAACTTATTTGTTCCCCTCCCAGAATCTTATGGGCATGATCCTGACATGATCATAGTGAAATGGTAGCTCTTGCAGGGCCAGCTAGAATGGTGAGTGGCAAGCTGTTTGGGTAGTTATAGCCCAAAAAGATCTGTATGTCTGATCTAGGGATTTCTGTCCCAGGAAAGGTGACACAAGCAGAGTGTCTTTGTTGTCTTGAGTAAAGCTTAGACAAGTTGTTACACCACACAGCTGCTCAGTTAGGCCAGCTGTCTGAACCACTACACTTTTACTAACATGGCTGGGTTAAAAAAAAAATCAATTCTTAATTATTCTCCCATTCTGCAAAGTGGGGGTGGTGCCCAGCAGGAAGGGCTCTGTAGATTAATTGTTGTTCTGACTACAGTTATGTAACTGTCCCTTTATAGATCTGGAGGGTTAGCTAAGAAGGAAGAACGAGGGGTGGGAACAGAAAGTGCAGCATCCAGATCGTTCTCTTTCCACTTGAGAAAAGCAAAGCAAAAGTCTCAGTCAAAGAGAGCTGGTTGCAAGGTCAGCAAACTAAATGGGCCAACTATGCATCTGGTCTGTGGGAACCCTTGTCCATGGTCAGGAGAATGGAAGACTTATCAAGAATCCTGTCACAGTCGATTCAAGCAACAGAACAAGAGTTTCAGGAGCAAAATTCATATTTTTCAGGCCAACATGTGGACAGTTTTTTTTTTCTGGAGACTTCTCCCAATGAGACAGAAAGTTATCAAAAATACGTGATTGCATATCTTAGCATTCCAGAGCTGGAAGGGACCCTGTGGATCATTGAATCTAGCCTCTTGTCAGGGAGGTACAGTGGGGGAATCAAATTCCCAACCTCTGGCTCCATGACCAGATATCTAAACCACTGAGCTATCCAGCATATACTGTATTTCTGTAGTACCCGTTTAATGCATCTTTGTGCTGAATTTAGGACCAGCCCAATATTTTTGCACTTGGCAATTAGAATTAGCCACTTTGCCAACTCAAGGTACACAGTAACAAAAGTCAGCCAAATTATTTTGGCAGATGAGGTACAAGATCCCGTAGACACTTCTCTATAGTACTCCCTGGCAGTATACCTATAATAACATATAAGCACTTAACAATCTTCTATGGTTTCAAAATACTTAAGGTTGACAGGCTGTAGCAGCTGCCAGTTCTAGTTGAATTTTACCCATTCTTCACAACTTTTTGTGAAATGTATGCCATATTCTGAATGTATGGTGTGTGTTTCTCTATTGTCTCCATGAAAGCTTGGGGAAATCTATTAGTTACACCTTTAATTCTAAGCCCCCCAAATAGATAATATTACTATTGAAATGTTTGAAAAAGTAACTTTACTCTCCTATGTCTCAAAATCAAGATTGTTTCTTTTTTAAAAGAATCTGATGCTGCAACACAAGTTACAGCGCACACCAGAACTTAAAACTCTTTCATGTTCTTCCTCTACTGTATAATGCATCTTAATGTCTAATGTACTTGGCTTGAGTCCAAGCAGTTTGAAGGACCAAGTGTCCCTGTTTTTCTGACCTTCGTGGGGGGCCATTCTCTTGGCCACACCGCCATTATGGGCACATATGAGGCCATCTTTCTAGTTGCTCTGGGGCTGTACAACTCTCTACTACAGTAGGCTAGATCAGACCCCCTCCATCTTGTCCTTCTGTTAGCAGGCTAAGATCTTTGTTTTCAGTCAAGTATTGAATCCCTCTCATCTGGATGCAAAGAGCATTTTTAACAGGTGATTTCCACTTCAAAACTTTTTTTCCTTCTGTATATTTCTTTTTGCTGTTTTTATTTTTCGATTGTTTAACAGGCTTTTATGTGTTCTAAGAATGTTTATTTTGATTTATGTATCTGTTATATCACCTGCCCACCACTTTCTATCTAACCTATCTTGGGTCCTTGAATTGGGAGAAGACTGGGGTATATATAAGATTCAAAATGTCTCAATTATATGTTTTGCTATCCTAAAAGGAGTTAATTACCCCCCAGAGGTTTTTTCTTAACTAGTTACTTCAAAGTTCTGCTCCCTATAATTTGCTCATGATGTTGGCCAAATGTGTAACACTGTGACTTTGGGCAATAAGTCAAATATAACTGCATAATATACAGTGGGAGAGGAAGTTTTGCCACTGTCAAAAATGAAATTTCCCCTGGGTTTATAAAAACGTACAGTTCTGCCTTTCTCTTCCAAGTTTTGCCCTTACACTACAGTTTGCTTCAAAATTCGTTTCAGCTCTGGCATTAAGATGTTCCAGAATTCACCACATCATTCCAGTTTCTGATCCCATTTCATGCTTTCTCAATTCAGTCGTTGTCTTCATTCTTTCTGTTCATTCCAGCACAGTTGGAGTATCATGTGATGTCTGCTTGAACAAATATCTGCATCTTTTTTATTAGTTTTAAAATAAAACACCTCAGGACTGCTGTGTTAGAATAATAGAGCTTTATGTACAATGTGTTTATTAAAACATTTACAAAAAATGTAAAGGACAAAATCCACAAACAGCTCGAGCCAAATTTATTAGATTAAACTGGCTGAATCCCAAAAAAAGTTTTCGGAGAACCAAAGTGAATCCAAACTTCTGCCCTGCAGGATTTCATGAGTTCTTCATTGACAGTCTTTTTGCTTTAGCCCTTGTGCTTGATGGGAACTCATACGTATCACTAGGTAAGAGTAGGATCCAGATGTTTGACTCCATTTCCCATCAGCCTTATGCAACATGAACATTTGTGAAGGATGATAGGAATTAAAGGTTCAACCCCTTTGGTCTGGGTAAAAGACAAAGTGGCAATTCTTTATTCTCTACCTAAGACTCGATCTCTTTGAATTCAGTAAGAGCTTCCATTAGTCACCTAGAATAACTCGAGCAGCCAAGTAAGAGCTTCCATTAGTCACCTAGAATAGCTCAAGAGTGGCCTAAAGGAAAGGAAAGGCAAAGAGTGAGTGAGGAGACTTTTTCATTTTACAAAAAATATAAGAAAAAATATTTTCAGAGCAGAAGTGACTGTGACCTTCCAGGAGTGAACATAAGTTTTCCCGAGATCTCTAGAGGTTGCCAAGCAGTGGTAAATTTGGAATTTTGGTGTTTATTCTTCCAGTCCCCTGGCCCGAGGAGAATCTAAAAGTGCAGGCTACTGGATTCTTCCATGTCCACAAATGAGGAA